AGTGCTCGCCCCGCAAGTGCACGTCAGGGCGCCAGTGAAGTCGCGCCGCTGAGAGATGCGCTGCAGGCGCCCGGCGCGGTGGTCAGAGACGCGCTGATCAACGTCGAGATGCCGGCGCCCGCTGCGCAGCTCAGCGACGCGGCGCTCGAGGCGGCGCTCGCCCGCTGGCGCGCGCCTGGATCAAGCTGGCGATCGCCGGCGCGCTGCACGGCGGCGCGCTGCTGGCGCCCGTCGTGGTCGTCAGCGACGTAAAACTCAAGACGACACTCGTTCCTCTGGTAGAACTCTGGGTCGAGCTGCCGACGTCCGACGCGCCACGTCGAGATTGCAATGCCCGCCCCGCCAGCGCTGCCCATCAACGCGGCACCCGAGGCCGCGCTCGCCCCGCCCGCGAGCGCCAGGGTCGAGCTGCTGCTCTCTAGCGCGCTCGTCAACGATGCGCTGCTGGCGCAAATCGCCCGCGGCACGTGAGACAGCGCTCGCCCCCCTCACGAACGCCAGGGTCGGCCCGCAACTCTCCGACGCGCTAATCCTCACCTAGATGCCCACGGCCGCCGCCCATGGCCGCCGCGCAGCAGGGCGACGCGGCGTCCGAGGCAGCGCTCGCCCAGACGCAGCGGCGCACGCCAGGGTCGAGCGGGCGCTCTCCGACGCGCCTGCGGGGGCTCGCGCCCCGCCCCCAGCGCGCCAACGCAGCTCGCGGAAATGGGGCGAAGCTCGCACCTCACCCCCAGTGGACCAACGCAGCGCGCGGAAAAAAGCCGACGCGCGCACCCCACCCCCAATGGGCCAACGCGGGCCCCGAAGGATGGGAGAACAAGGGGCCCCAGCACGGACGGAAACAACTCGAGACGGCACTCGGCACAACACTCGAGGCGGTCGCTGAGGTCGAGCCGGCGCCCCCCGACGCGCTGCTCAGCGGCGCGCCGCTGGCCCTGGTCGCGCAGCTTCGCGGCGCGGCGCTCGAACACGCGCCTGCCCCGCTGGCGGGCGGAAAGGTCACGCCGACGCTCTCCGACGCGCTGCTCAACGTCGGGCTGCTCGACGCGGTGCTCAAGGTAGTTCTCGCCCCGTCCCCGGGCGCCAGGCGCGGGCCGTTGCTCTTCGGAGCGCTGCTCAACATCGAAGGCAGCACATGTTCCGCTCGCGGACGCCACGGTCGGGCTGCAATTCTCCGGCGCGCCGCCCAACGTCGAGGCGCGCGGCGCCCCGGGCAGCGCCCGCCCCGCCGGCGCTCGCAAGGGCGCCGGCGCCCCCCCCCTTCGCGAGGCTCAGCGATGCGCCGTTGGCACTGGAGACAGCGCTCGGCCCGCTCGTGGACGCCAGGGTAGAGCCGCCGCTCTCGGCCGCGCTACTGCTCAACAGCGATGATGGCATCCCTCGCGGCGGGCGGCGACGCAATGCTCAACGCAATACTCGCCCCAGTCGCGGGCGCCAGGGTCGAGCTTCTGCTCTCCAACTTGATGCTCGACATCGAGATAGTACCTGTGGCAGTCGACTCCATCATGCTGGGCGATGTCAGGCACCTGGCACAGCGCGCAGCGCACTCAGACTCGGCGTTAGGCGAAGACCGTCGATCGCCCCCACGGCTGCAGGGAAGCCCCACTCCCAACGCCACGAGCAAGCCTGGCATCACTGACGCAGCTGCGTACAGGGGGAAAGTCGGGGTCGAGTTCTCGCCGCGCGGAACGCCGTCGGCACCGTCCCCGGCCGCTCGCGCTGCCAGGGGCTCGCGAGGGGTCGCGCCGATGAGCTCCTGCGGGGCGCCCTCGGCATCGCCCACGGAGGGGCGCCGTCCGCAAAGGCGCTGGCGCATCTTGCTAAGGCGCCACCGCTGCAGCGGGCAGCGCTTCAAGGAGCCCGCGAACCCAGTCGGTGCCGCAGTCGCTGGTGTTCTTGCCGGCATCGGTTCCGCGCCGCGCCAATGGCTTTCTGGACGCGCGGGGGAACGGGCACCAAACGGGCCCGTGGAGCCGTACAGCGTTTCGGCCCCAGTGGGTCTGGCGAACCGCCAGTCCCTTCCCTCATTCCTCAGGCCCCATTCGTCATGACGACCCCGTTCTCCGCTGAAGACCCCTTCCAATTCGGCGCGCGCCCGCGCCGCAGCAGGGGCCCCATTCGAGGGGGCACGCGTGCAGGCGGGCCCACTTCGTCGCGAGATGCGTCTCGTAGACGCAGCTATTGACGCAGACCGTGGCGGCCCCGCCCGCGGCTTTTGCTGCGCCGCGGGCGTCGCCGAAGCCTCGCCCTGGTGTCGCCCGGGGCCCAACCCCGGCGGGGGCACCCGCAGGGGTTCGCGGCGGCTGCACCGCGCGAGCCCAGGGCCCTCGGGCGGCGGCGGCCCCTCCCGAGGCAGCAGCTGGGAAGACGACCGCGGAGTCGCAGAGACTCTCGGTCGGTGCCGCGCCCCTGCTGGCGGGGTGCGCGCTCAGGCCCTGGCACGCGCTTCCGCGCGAGCGCAGGAGGGTCTGGCGTCTCCTCCGTGGTTCCCGCCCTCGGCAGATGCGTCGTCTCTACTGGCCTGGGCCCTGACGTTGAAGCGGCGTCACTCCTCCCCGACCGACGCTGGGAGCGAGGGGCCAAGACTTGAAGCGAGCACGCTGGTAGCGTCGCCGCTGGCCAACGCGACCACCCAATACAGATTCTCGCACCCCGTGCGTCCGATGACGATTCCGCGTGGGCTGCTCATAGGGTTCTTTACTTGGCCGCTGACCGCGGCCTCGGTGCCTTCCTGGATGCACGGAGGAACGGGAAACGGGACTGGGCCACTGGCGTCGGAAAGCGCTTCGGCCCTGGAGGACCTAGCGAACTGTCGCGCCGCCGGTGTCTCTGCGGCCTCGCTCGAGTTCGCGCTGAGCTCCGCCCTGGCGGGTGCACCCGTAGGGCTTGGCGGTGGCTGTATCGGTCAGTCCAAGGTCTTCTGGCGGCGTCTACCCCCTTCCGAGATAACGGGAGCTGGCCATCGCTCGGACGTCCATTCCCTGTGTTGTTTGTTTCGGTTTCTTGCGTGGCTTTTTCGCAGGATGCTCCAGGATGCTCCTTCATAATCCCCGCCAAGAAAAAGGTGCACACGTCCGAGCGATACCAAGCGGAGGGTAGATGACCACGGAGTTCCAAAAAATCCTCGGTCGGGGTGTTGGTGCTGGTGGGGGTCCCTCAAGGGGCCCAAGGACACACAAATAGATACACACAAACAACAGGATTCCCCACATTGTCCTATATGTTCCGGGTGTGTGTCTTCCCCCCAGTTCCCATATTTTCCTATCTGTTCTGGGGAATCGACGATATATTGTGTCTGTGTGTTTTTTCCCCTCCTGAGTCCCTGTCTGGCGCATCGCTGCTGATGAGAGGGGCGGTGCCGCTGCCCCGGTGGGCGTCGGCGGAGGCCGTGGGGCCCTGCGGGGTCACGGCTGGTGCCCGTCGTCTGTGTCGGATCTTCCTATGGCGCGATGTCATCCGATACGCCCCTCGGGCTTACTGAAGAGGCCCTGGGACACGCAGATGGGTACACACAGACAACAGGCTTCCCCGTGTGTTTCCAGATGTTTTGGATGTTCGTCTTCCCCCACTTCCCATAGCTTCCCATATTTTCTGGGGAATCGACGAATACTTGTGTCTGTGTGTGTTTTTGTCCCTCCTGACTTACGCTGGTCGCAACGGCGGGCGGTATACATTGCCAATATCGTTTCGGAACTTGTGAGCAAGTTCGCTGTAAGCAGCGACTGCTCGGTCGACGCCAGCACTGCTCTGGAGTGCGGCGGCGCAGGCTTCCTCTCGGCCCAGTTTGGTACATTGCCGACTCGTCAAGGTTGCCTTTGCGCGGCCCTTGCCTGGTGGCCTGGGCTGCGGCAGTATATGAAGCGCACGGCGAGGGCTCTCTGGAACTATTGCGACGCGCCCAGAAGCATGAAACTAGAACCACGCGCGCTTCGCGCGCGCTTAGGTTCTAGCGTGTCACAGACACAGGAATCGCTGTGCGAAAAAATGTTTGGAGTTTGTCTCAGGCAAGTGAGGACTCCAGTGGCAACACCTGCTTGAGGCACCGCCGGGGACGGACCCTGTGTAGAGTGTGGGATGTGACGCCAATCTGTCACGACCTGGATCGCGTCCAGCCTCGCGAGGCGGGAAAGGACGCGGGGCGTTCGACGTCTAGGCTCGCTCCGAGCAGAGCTCTCGAGCCGACCCCGTGCGAAGGGGGCAAAAGAGAGGGCGTGGGGCGGACGCGCTGCCAGGCTCTCTGAAGCGTTCCTCGCTGGGTCGTTCACCCGCGGCTCATGACACCAGGGGGTTTAGGCACGAGGGGGTTTAGGCCGGGGCTCAAGGGCGGCGGCTCGCACTCTCGAGTGGGCTTCCTCGATCATGCACCCTTGCCTGCGAGAAACAAAAGCCTGGACTTCATCGGCACCTCGCTCCTCCCCGTTCTAAGGCCCCGCTGCCGCACCTGCCGCTGCCGACGCGCCTCCAAGGCCCATCCGCGGCGGCAGCACCGCGGGAGACCGATCGGGCCGACAGCGAGGCCGACAGCGAGGCCGAAGCCGACACCTCGCGAGCAGCCTGCCAAGAGAGCGCGGCGGCGCGGCCGCGACGCAGACAGCCGAGCCGCACTCCAAGGACGCAGCCGAGCGCGCCGCGGCCGCACCGACCGAACCGCGGAGACCCTCGGGGAGCCCCAGCGCCTCCCAAGGAGGGACAGGGAACGGCGACACCAGCACCACTGGGGCGAGGAGGTGCGGGGAGGCAAGGGGGGGTCTCCCTGGTGGTGTGGTCCCCCCCCCCTCTCCCTCGAGACACCCCCGGCCTCCAGCTCGGGGAGGCGTCGTGGGCCTCCTCGCTGGGGGTGGGCCCCCTGGCGGTGTTGGTGTCGCTTCGCCTCCCTCCGACCACTGAAATCCGCCCTGCACTTCCCCATGCTGCTCGTCAAGCTCGTCTCCGTCGTGTCCGACCACCCCGAGGCCCGCCGCTCGCCCCCATGCAGCTCGCGGGCGCGACGGCGGCCCCGCCTGGATAATATCCATGTCGGCGAGCTTCCCGACCTGGCGGGAGGGGGGAGTGCACTTCAGGGGCCACGAGCGGCCTTCACGTCCGTATCCACGCCGCCGCGGCCTGGAGTCCGGGGCGCGGTCCCGTGGATACGAGGTCGCATGGAGGCGTTTCGCGCGGGGGGGGGTCATCCGCCAAAGACGACTCCCCGCATCCATGGGGTCGCAGCCCAGGGGCCCGGGCAGGAAGAGGGAAGCAGGCGCGGAGAAGGTGAGGCGAGAGTACCTGGGAGACGAAGATAACGCATGGGGTCGCACTGACGAGGGGCAGGCCGCCCGTGCACACTGCGCGGAAGCAGAGCAAGCTCGTGCGCGGCCCTGTGCGGCCAGCTTGCGCGCCAGTGTCCGCGCAGACAACACGGTCCTCGCCCAGAGAGACAACAAAACTGCATAAACACAAGCTTTTGACGGTCCGCGCGGAGTTTTTGGGTCTGAGCTGGAGCGCGCCAGTAGCGGCGCCAGAAGCGCCGCCAGGGGGGCCCAGCGCAGATCCAAGAAATCCGCGCGGAGCGCCAAAAGTTTGTGCTTTCGTATGCCGTTGTTTTTGTCATTCCATCACCTACTCTACGCTTCGACTGCACACTGTCGACTAATCGCGCCAGAGGGCGTACAGTGGAGGCCCGTCCACAAGAAACCTTCCACAAGAAACCCAACCCCGAGACCCCAGGACGCCCATGGATTTTTAGTTTGGGAACGTCACGCTCTCCATGGCAAAACCATCGAAACCCAAGAGACCCAGGGCACCCTGGAGGCAAGCAGGGTGTTTCTTGGCATGTGAAGAGCCGAACTCTATACACCGACGCGGTTTCTGGCCCCGCATTGAAATTCGCACAAGAAAGCGGATCCTGGTGTATACAAGATCCTGGTGTATACATGCTTCGCTGCTTCCCCGAGAAACAACGGGAAACAAAAGCATACACCAGTCCACCCCGACGCCGTCCCCGACCCTCGAAGAGTCGCAGGATTGAAACACGGCCCGCCACTGGTCGTGTACATGTTCCAGCTTCCGAGCATGTCGGGAGCGGCCAAGAGGGGGGTGTCCAAGAGGGGGGGGTGCAAATCATGGCCGGCGGCATGTGCGCGGCCCAGGATGGGGGGCCAGGGACGTGATGAAACGAGAAGGGGCGCCATGAAATCTGGGGAAATGTCATGGCCCCCGCCATGATATCCACCCCCCCCCCAGTCATCACCCCCCTCTTTGCCGCCCCCGAGCATGGGCCTCCACCGTCGCGCCCGCCCGAGCCGGGCGGGTCGCGGGCCCTCTGCTCCGGCTCGGAGGGCTTTCGGGCGGCCGCACCCTCCAGACCGCTGCCGGCTGCAGCGACCGAGGTCGCCGTGGGCACTGCCTAGGGGAACGAACAATGAGATAAACATAAAAACTCGGAGGTCAGGGGGGTCCAGCGCCGATCCGAGAAATCCGCGCGGACCTCCAAGTTTTTATGTTTATGTCATTGTTCGTTCCCCTACTGCTGGAGACGCCACAGGAGCCGCCTCCGGGGCTGCCGCGGGCGCGGGGCCCAGAGGTATACACCACCACCACCTCCTTCATCCCCCTCCTCTCCCAGGAAGGAGGAGAGGAAGATGAGGGTGGAGGAGGAAGAAGGAATCGACGCGGTGGTGGTGGTGTATTCTCTTTTTTTTTTTGGGGGGGGCACGAGAGGCAAAGGGTCTAAATCGCTGATTGTCTGAAGCCCACCTAGCAAGACAGGCGCTGGCTGAAAGCCTGCCACAATTCTTCGCTCTCGAGTGCGGATGACTTGAACGTCGAGTCAGAAAACCGCAGAAAAAAGATGCGCCTGGCCGCGCGCCCGGCGGGGACCGTCTACTTGCTGATGTACTCCTTGGCCCCATAGTTGTACTGCTCCTGATTGGTCTCCACCTCCATGCCCACGAACTTGCCGGTCACGATCGGCTTGGCGTCCGGGTTGGTGGTGGTGCCGTAGGGCGTGTTGTACTTGAGCGCGGCGTTCTTCAGCACTGCGCCGTAGAAGACGATGGCGAACGCGCACAATGCCCAGTAAAGCGGGCTGATGCCGTAGAAGACGTCGAAGTACTCCTTGCCATTGTACGTGAACGCGTGGGCCGCCTCGGGGGTGGCAGCGGCGAGCGCGCCGGCAGCCGCCAGTGCGTCGCCGCGCAGGGCGGGGTTCCGCGGGGCGGGCACGAAGGCGCGGGCACCCTGGTAGGCGGCGCAGGCGCAGACCGCGAGCACGCAGGCCGTGGCGAGGGCGGAGCGCGCCATCTTTTCCGCGGGAGGCAGGGTTCGGGCCGAGACTGCTCGAGCCAAAATGGCTGCGGGCGGTGGTGGTGGTGTATTCTTGGGGCCCGCAGCGGGGCCTCCGCTGGCTAGCGGGCGAAGCACGGTACGGCAGGTTCGTGCCGTGACGGCCCCGGAGTTGGTGTTTCCTAGCACCGCGTGGATCGTTCCACCTTGGACGATCGGCGGCTTTACAATCGCCAGATCGCGCCACACTAGCCGATCGGGGCGACTTGCAAGATCCAACCCGTGAACTCCCGCGGCGAGGTCGCAGCCGCGTCGACAGGTCACGAATCTACCGCACCAAACAGCATGTTTGTTGCCACCGGGGGAGCCTGTCCCATGGCGGCTGGAATATTTATTACCCTGGCTGTGGACCTCCAAAGACGACCACCGTACGAGGCGCCGCCGCTGGGAACGACGCCGCAGCCACGGAAAGGCGTCGCCCATCGAAGATCGCCGCCGACGCGGCGCCGCCGGCCTGTGGGGGAAACACCGCCGATGGATCGGCGAGAGGCCCCCGACGCCGAAGCCGCACGTCGTCGGAGGGCGATGGATGGGGCGACTGGGGGTCGATGCTTACCCCCCCCCTCTTGGGCCGACCCCCCCCCCCCTGACGTTGCCCCTGACGTCTGTGGAGCGGCGCCGACGACTACGGCCGGCGACGGCGAGACCGACGCCGAGGCCCACGGCAGCGGCGGAGGCGGCGAAGACGACGACAACGACGACGGCGACGATGGCGACCTCGACGACGACGACGACGATGACGACGGCGGCGGCGCCGGCGGCGACGACGGCGGCGCCGGCGGCGATGATGACGACGACGAGGACGACGACGAGGACGACGGCGACGGCGACGACGACGACAACGACGACGACGGCAGAGGCGGCGGCAGGCGGCGGCGGCGGAGGCGGCAGCGGCGGACGGCGGCGGCGGACGACGACGGACGACGACGACGACGACGACGACGACGACGACGACGACGACGACGACGGACAGACGGACGGACGGACGGACGGACGGACGGACGAACGAACGGACGACGGCGACGGCGGCGGCAGGGAGGACATCGAGCTAGGCCCACGCTGCTGCCGCCGCCCTTCGTCCTTCGTCGACCTTCGTGGACCTTCGTCCGGCGTCGTCGTCGTCCTTCGGCGCTGTTAGCCGTCCGTCTTCGTCTGTCGGCACGGTCCTTCGTCGTCGTCGTGGGAGCCGCCGCCGCCGCCGCTGCAAAGGCGCCGTGCACGGCGTCGCAGCGGCCGCCGCTGTCGGAGCTCCAAGCGGCTTTGCCCTAGACAGCCGCGGCCCAGGGCGGCGAGGGCGGGCCGTGGACGGGAACAGGCTGGCGAGCAGCTTGGCGGTCGCCATCTCCTCTCTCACTCTCTCTCTCTCTCTCTCTCTCTCTCTCACTCTCAGGGGTGGGGTGGGCTGCCCTCCTCCTGCACTCTGCCTCCTCCCTCCTCCCTCTTCCCCCTCCTCCTCGTCCGTCCTTTCCTCGTCCTCCTCCACCTCCAACCCCCTCTCCCTCGTCCTTCTCCTCCTCCTCCTCGTCCTCCTCCTCCTCCTCATCCTCCTCTCATCCTCTCCTCCTCCTCCTCCTCCTCCTCCTCCTCCTCCTCCTCCTCCTTCCTCCGCCTCCTCCTCCCCTCCTCCTCCTCCTTCTCCTCCTCCTCCTCCTCCTCCTCGCCTCCTTGGTTTCCTCCTCCTCGTCCTCCTCTTCCAGCTTCCTCCTCTCCTCTCCTCCTCCTCCTCCTCCTCCCTCATCATCATCATCATCATCATCATCATCATCATCATCATCATCATCATCATCATCATCATCATCATCATCATCATCATCATCATCATCATCATCAGCATCAGCATCAGCATCAGCATCAGCATCATCATCATCATCATCATCATCATCATCATCATCATCAGCATCATCATCATCATCATCATCATCATCATCATCATCATCATCATCATCATCATCATCTAGCTCCTTCTCCTCCGCCTGTTTTTCTTTCGGCGCAGCTCAGATCAAATCTAGGATAGACTTCTACTTATATATTGCACGAGTGGCCCTTCAATGCACGATGTTCCGCACGAGTGTCGTCCAAGATGTTTCGACTGCCGTGGCACAACCTTCCAATGCCATAAGCTCCGTCGTGAAAGAAGATATGGGGTTAGCCATGTCTACGCCCTTCCAGCCCAAGAGAATGTCCTCAACCCCATGCTATGTAGCAACATTTGCTTACAAGACCCAAGCCGCGGCAGAACACTGCGATACGCGAGTGCCACCATCACTGACCATCACAGTGCGATACATACTTGGCGTGGATGAGGTTCAAGGTGCAGTCGCTTGGAGGGCGTACTTACTCCAAGTAGTACGCCCTCCGAATGTCTGCTGCTCCACCTCCTCATCCGCCTCCTCCACCTCCGCCTCCTCCTCCTCCTCCTCCTCCTCCTAA